CATGCCCCATCCCTTCTCCTCCATCCCTTTGCCCTATTTAAAGTTCCTCCATTTCTCCCATGCTCCCCCCTCTCATTATGGATCAGCATGCACATATCAGAGAAAACATTCAGCCTTTGTTTTTTGAGGATTGGCTTACTTTACTTAGCATGATATTCTCCAACTCCATCCATTTACCTGCAAATTCTATGACTTTTATTATCTTTTAATGCTGAGTAATATTTCATTGTGTATATATACCAAAGTTTGCCTACCCATTCATTTACTGAAGGGTATCTAGATTGGTTCCACAATTTAGCTACCGTGAATTGTGCTGCTATAAACATTAATGTGGGTGTTTCACTGTAGTATGCTGTTTTTAAGTCCTTTGGTATAAATCAAGGAGTGGGATAGCTGGGTCAGATGGTGGTTCCATTCCAAGTTTCCCAAGGAATCTCCATAGTGCTTTCCAGATTGGTTGCACCAATTTGCAATCCCACCAACAATGTATAAGTGTGCCTTTTTCCTCACATCCTCACCAATACTTACTGTTGTTTGTATTCTTAATAGCTGCCATTCTGACTAGAGTGAGATGAAATCTTAAAGTAGTTTTGATTTGCATTTCTCTAATTTCTAGAGATGTTGAACATTTTCATATCTTCTGAGAAGTGTCTGTTCATTTCCTTGGCCCATTTATTTTATTTTTTAAAAAAATATCTTTATTTATTTATTTTTATGTGGTGCTGAGGATCAAACCCAGTGCCTCATATGTGTGGGGCAAGCACTCTACCACTGAGCCACAAACCTAGCACTCCCTTTAATTTCTTTCATCTGTCTAATTGCTTTGGCTGAAGTTCCAAGAACTATGTTGAATAGAAGTGGTGAAAGAGGGTATTCCTGTCTTGTTGCAGTTTTTAGAGGGAATGCTTTCAATTTTTCTCCATTTATAATGATGTTGCCCTTGGGCTTAGCATAAAGAGCTTTTACAATGTTGAAATATGTTTCTGTTATCCCTAGTTTTTCTAGGGTTTTGAACATGAGAGGGTGCTATATTTTGTCAAATGCTTTTTCTGCATCTATTGAGATGATTACATGATTCTTATTTTTAAGTCTGTTGATATGATGAATTATATTTCTTAATTTCCATATGTTGAACCAACCTTGCATCCCTGGATGAACCAACTTGATCGTGGTACATTATCTTTTTAATATTTTTTGCATTTGATTTTCCAGAATTTTATTGATAATTTTTACATCTATGTTCATTTGAGATATTGGTCTGAAGTTTTCTTTCTTTGATGTGTCTTTGTTTGGTTTGGGGATCAGAGTGATATTGGCCTCATAGAATGAGTTTGGAAGTGTTCCCTCTTTTTCTATTTCATGGAATAATTTGAGGAATGTTGGTATTAGTTCTTCTTTGAAGAGCTTGTAGAACTCAGCTGTCTATCCATCTGGTCCTGGGCTTTTTTTGGTTGGTAGGCTTCTGATGGCGTCTTCTATTTCATTTATGCTCTTAATGATTAAAATATGACAGCTTTATATGGAAGAAAGTAAAGAAAATTATCTGAATTTCAACAAAAACAAACAAACAAAATTAATGGCTTTAGGTTAAAATTACCAATTAGTTTTCCTCTAGTTGAAATGTCAGGTTTTAAAAAATTGGCATCAACAGTACTTTGGGGGAAAGGAAAGGTTAGGAATGCTAGATATAAATATAAGACATTCATTTGAAGTTCAAGTTTCAGGTAAATAATGAGTATATTTTTCATATAAATATATCTAGTTGTTGTTTATCTGAAATTTTAATTGAACTATGAGTCCTCTTTCTTTTTTCCCAATATACAGAACTCAGGCCTTCCTTCTGGTCTATCTAAAGTTCTGTATCAAAGTCTCCCAAACTTATGTTCTACAGAACCTAATGGAGAAGTAGAATCTTGGAGGCCAAGATCTAACTTAGAATCCCTGACATGTCAGGCTAGAACTCTTCTTTTCACATTAAATCATCTAAATTACGACCAGACATATCCAATTGAGAACATGTAGCAGTATTCTGCTTTTCCACCTTTCTTGAAAATGTATGTTATGGTTCGAATATGAAGTGTCTTTTAAAGTTCCTGTGTCAATTCTGGAATGTTCAGAGGTGAGAGGATTGGATTATAAGAGCTGTCAACTAATCAGTCCGAACTAGTTTGAATGGACCTACTGGGAGGTAAATGTAGGTAGAGAATGGCTGGAGAAGGTGAGTCACTGGGGGTATGCCCTGGAAGGGTTCTTCTTTCCTGAAGCTTCTTCTCTTCTTGATCTCTCTCTGTTTCCCAGTTGCAATGTCCCGAGCAGTTTTCCCTTTGCCACGCCCTTCCACCATGATGTGCTACTTCATCTTAGGCCCAGAGCAATGGAATCAGCCCACCTTGGACTAAATCTCTAAAACCATGAGCCAAAACAAACTTTCTCACCTCTAAGCTGTTCTTGTGAGGAGTCTGGTCACAGTGATGCAAAGCTAACTAATACACTGTATGTACATATGATGCCCAAGTAGCAAAAGGTTCTTAAATGTAGTTGTTTGACAATGAGTATAGAAATACATATCGTAGAACTTGTTCATGGAATTATGAAGCACAAACTTGAGGCTTCTATGGGGATTCTTCCAGTACATCCTTTAAAATTTTTCCCAAGTGAGAAAATTCTATATCTTCTCAGGTTTACTGGGAAAGGAACTGAGGGGCTAGGCAGTAGGGAACTTTTTTTGTTTCTTCCTTATTTCCTTAATACATGCATTGTGAATAACAGGAATTTCTATTTTTCCCCTTCTATTCCTTCCAGGGTTTATTGCTCACCCTAAAACTTGGATACTCTAAGGAATGTGGGAAGGTCCAGGATGGCTTGGAAAGTGTAATATGAATCAGTAACTGTACTTGACAATGGTTGTAGCAGCCACATAGTAAATATATCCTCAAACACCCCACCACCATTTGCCCAATGGGACTGTGTCCAGAATCTGACCAGAGATAAAGATTATGTTATGTACCCACCTTTTCTGCTCCCAGCCTTTGTGGAAGGGGACAGTTCTGAATTGGAGCTATGCCAACAGTATATAATTAAAAACTAGGTGTTAATATAGCTCAGTTGGTAGAGTGCTTGCCTTGCATGCACAAGGTCCTGGTTTCAGTCCCCAGCACCACAAAAAACCTAGATGTTAAAGTGATTATTTCATAGAAATATTTATGTTTTTAATAATAATTGTTGCCTATGCAGGAGCAAAATTATTATTTTTTCTATTAAGGTTAACACTTAAAAGCTAAAGAATCTTAAGCCTTGTTTCTAGGAAGAGGTTTAACATGTTATAAATAGTATGCCATTAACATACTTATGTCTTGTTCTGTAAAATAAATGGCTTTAAGTAATCAAAAAGACTTTTTATATCTGGTGTATTTTATCGGAAATGACTTTCTGCTGTGAGTTTTGACTGCATTTCTTATATGATACACAAGATGGCAGCAGAGAAATGTTCATTTAAATTTATCATCTCTAGAGAGATTGTTACAAGTGCACTTTAACAAAAAATAGAGTAACCTTTGTGATTTGGTTCTTTCTAAACATAAAGTAGCCAGTTAGAACTTTCATGATTTCTCAAGTCTTCTGTGAAAAACAAAATTGGGTTTTATCATCTTTATTAAAGTTGTTTTCCCTTTGAGTCAGGTATAAATGTGCTTGTCTATATTTCTGTCTCATAAGTCATCTTAGGAAATCTGGGAAGAATACACTATGGAATCTAACTGTGTGTGTGTGTGTGTGTGTTGATTTACAATCTGCAGCAACTATCATTAAGGAACAAACAAGAAATGGACAAGAAGTGGTTTTCAGGTATTGAAGTGTGAATTTAGGTAGAGGGGTGGGTAGAGGGCAAGAAGAGAGGGGAAAGACGGCATTTGTACATAGTGGGCAGTTTTCAACTGCATTTGAGTTATATTTGACACTATTGGTTATTCATCAGAGTGGGTAATTGCAGTTGACAATAAATAATTGCAGGTGCTTTTCATGCAGAAGAAAAATTATTTTCCTTTAAATGACTTCAATTTTCTAATTTTAGAGTCATGTATTTCTTATGAAGTGATAAAAGACACACTATAAATCTATTCTATAATTAATAAATTAATTTTCACTGGTCTATATAATTTATTACTTTGGATTTCTTTATGCCTTAAACTTGGAGAACTTAATTACATCCACTCACATGGGTACTCCTGGGTGTGTTTTTTGTATATATATATATATATATATATATATATATATATATGAACAAAACATTTATGTCATGCAGGAATATATAAAATAGGAAATGAAGTCTCCCATAATCCTTCTGAGTAGTTTGTAAACTTCCTTCTTGATATTTCTCCGTGACAAACATATTTACATTTTTTGTTTGTTTGTTTGTTTTGTCTTTTGGTGCCGAGACCAGGGACATATTTACATTTTTAAAAAACAAAAGTAAATCATACAACACTGATACTTCTCTGCAACCCACATTTTGAATTTACTCTACCATGGACATTTTTTCCATGTTGATTTTATAAGCTACAGTATTCCATTGAATGATTGCGACATAATGTTCTAAACTAACTCCATTGATGGATGTTGTTTTTCCCTGTTTCTTTTTTTAATCTTGTTGTGCTTGCTATCATAATGTTGCACGAAAGAATTTTGTATATTTACCTTTGAGTCCTTAATATCTAAACTTTTAACCAGATAACATTTTCAGAGCCGGAACACCACCATTGAAATTAGTAATAAAATCCTGTGTTTACTTTGTAATCTGAGTGGGCACAGCTTGAACGTCAAACATAAGAAAGTGTTAATTTAAAAAAAAAATCTAATTTTCTGTTTTCTTTTTTTCCCTTCTTTCTTTTTAAAAGTATTAGGATAAAGTTTGAGCTTGAACCATGGCGCTGAAGGGTAGAGAAAGTGCTTTCCCAGCGTCAAGTTTCAATGCTTTCTATGGCAGTGGTACCTACAAAAGCTGCCTCCTTGGCTTGGAAGGTCTTTGCACCTGCGCTGCCCTGGCGAGCACCTGCCGGCTACCTCGCCCGCGAGAGCAGGTTCAGGCGTGGGCTTTCATCTACGCAGCCAGGCAGAAGTGAAATGCGCCCTCCCCGGGGACCTCGCTTCCCCCGATTCCTCCACGCAGCTGGAGATCAAGGAGCTGAAGGTTTGAAGTCTGGGAACCCAGGGGCAGGGCTTTGTCAAGGCGGCAAACAGGACTCCGGAATGCACCGCCGCCCGCGGTCCAGCAGAGCCGGGCTGTTTGCCTTGGGGCGCCGCGGAAGCCCCATCTGTTTACTCGAGCGTGTTTCTGAGCGGTCGCCGTATGGCGGCTCCCTCACCCGCAGGCCCCATGGCGCAGCCATCCTCTTGTCATCTTTGCCACTTCACGTGGAGGGGCTAACGCTGGCATTGCTTTATAATGGGGTTTCTCCTCCAAGGGATTCAGACTCTTACTTGGTTCCGTGGGATGGATGAAAAGACATTTTTTGCCAATGGTGGGAATTAAAATCTAAGACAAGGTGTGACAGTTCAAATTCAAAACTTCCAGAATTCCTCTGCAAGCTCCGTGTTTATTACTTATCAGATCTTGTATCCCAGTGGATCTCTAAGCTGAGTATCTGGCTTTTTATTTTTATTATTAGTAGTATTTTTTTTTTTTTTTATCTCTGTAGAAGTGTATCAACTGGAGAAAAATCTCTTGACCTAAAGTCCTAAGATTTGCAAGTAAAACCCTTAGAAACAACTTTTTCTTAGGATAGAAGACAGCCATTTTTCTCATTCTTATACAAGAACATCTCTTTTACTTCCAGGGTTGACCTGTGTTGAAAAGTTTCATAGATTGGTTTCCTTGTTGTGTGTCTGGTGTCTCAGAGGTCCCCTTTTTAGGTTTGGAATACATTGTTGATTAGTTTACAAATAAAATAGCCTGGCTCTGCTGCTTATGAGTAGCAAATAGTTAAGCCATCGAATGCACACTCCTGTACTGTGGTGACTGTTTTCTATATTCCGTGTCTCCTTGATGTTCTAATAATAACAAGGGTAAAATAGAAAACTTGCAGTGAATCAATGCTTCGAGTTCATTCATTCAACAAGTTTGCACTGAGAAACTGCTGTGTGCCAGGCACTGTTCTTGTCAATGTTTTATGAGCAAAAATGACAAAAATTCTTGCCTTCAGGGCACTTGAATTTTAATGGGTAGAGAAATAATAAGCAAATAGAGTGTATCAGATGGTGATCAGTGCCAAGGAGAAGAAAGGGGATGAGTGTGTTTTTAGGTGAGAGCCAGTGTAGGGCTCCCTCATGGAAAGAACCAGAGAGAGAGGAAGGCTGGGCCCTATGGACTGTGGCAGGCCAGAGAGGACTTTGCTATTAGTATGGGTGACTTGGGAGAGCCACTTAGGGTTATAAGCAAGAAGTAAAGTGATTTGATTTGATTTTTTTAAAAACTTTTTTTGAATTTTTTTTTATGGACACAATATCTTTATTTATTTATTTTTATGTGGTGCTGAGGATTGAACCCAGTGCAGCACACGTGTGAGATAAGCACTCCACCACTGAGCTACAGCCCCAGCCCCTTGATTTGATTTTTAAAAGAATCATGGGAGCTGTTGTGTTGAGTACAGACTGGTGACAGGCAGGGAGATTGGTAGAAGCAATGGCTGCAATCCTAGAAAGGGGTAGTAGTGATGACCCCAGGGAGTGGAGATGAGGATTCTGCATATATGTTGAAGGTCATAGTGACAGAATTTCCCCATAGAACAGAATATACCTAATGAAGTCCCAGGGAAAGAGAGCATTTTTTTTTTCTTTTTTAGAGATGGGACCTCACATTACCAGGCTGACCCCAAACTCTTGGGTTGAAGCCATCTTCTTGCCTTAGGCTTCTGAGTAGCTGGGGCTACTTGAGTACCTGCTGGACCTAAAAGAATTTCTAAATTGGTGTAAGTGGATAGAGAAGCAGAAGAAGAAACTTAAAGAATAAATGGGGTAGGATCACTGTAGAGGTAAATCTGATAAGAGAAGGAGACAGCTCAAACAGGACACCAAGCAGCCAGTGGTGCCCTGTAGTACCACAGATTGTGTAGAAGTTTTACATGGGATCTCTAGGTCATGGGCAATAAAAACCTACTTGGCATAAAAATAGGTAGAAAGGAGGCATAAAGGAAGGATAAGGAAAAACCTAGTTGGCAAGGATGCTAGGGAGTTATCTTCCAAAGATACTGGTAGAATTGAAGATTTGTTTCAACACAGCTGAAAACAAGTTTTGGACAGACAGAAAAAGGGAAAGATGCAAGCATGAATTAATATGAAAGAGGGATGTCCATGAAGTTCATAGTTATTTTCTTTATAATAAGTGATCAGGTGCTGGATAAAACCCACTAAGCATTTGCTGTAGCAGGACACATAATCAGCATCCCTGCTGTGTGGAAAAAGGCTTGGCCTGCATAGAGAAAAGATTCCATTGCCTTTGGAAACTGCTTAGCTAGAATTCATTCCTCATTCAACAAACTTACACATTTCAGTGATATAAAATTGAGCAAGATAGGAACTCTATCCATGGCATATTCCAGTTTAATTAGGGAGCGAGATATTCAAACAAGTAATTGCAATTCAGGGTAGTAAGTTCAATAATCAAAGTTAAAAAAAAAATAAACTAGCTTGAGCTTTACAGTCACAGAGACATTTAACCCCTGAGTCACTTCTGTTCTTTTGTTTATCTTTGGGAAACTTACCTCTGATTCTCAATCACCTTACTTTGAAGGTTGTGTAATAACTTCTGCCTTGCATTTCAGGTCAAGGGAATAACATGTGTCAAGTCAAGTGGCCCTGAAATAGCATGAACAAGAAGAGGTTTGAGAAAAAAATCAGAAGAGGAGTTTTCTGAAAGTAAGTTTTTACAACAGTGGAGTGAAGAAATGTTGACCCTTTAAATTGGTGTAATATCCATATTGAAAACTTTGCTATCTGCTAAGTATATACTACCTATGATCCCAGGCCCTGGCTTTATAACACAAGGAGGAATCTGACATTTTAAACAACTTGACCCTTTCCTGTATGGCAGCCAAAATATTACTGTTCTTCTATATACCCTACTCTCACCAATTTCTGAGCTTTCATTTGAGGGTACACATACTACCTTTTTGAAAAAATCCCATCCATTCTTGAAGCCCATTTGAAATGCTACCTGATCTGACCTGGGAGAACTTTCATCTTCCTCAAAGGTCTGAGCCCTGTCACCTTGTAGCCTCCATTAGCATATCGGTGCTTAGTGGACTGTCCCTACCACCATTTGCATGCTTGCGCAGGATGTTTTTTGCCCAGGGTGAAAAGTTCCCTGGCATTAGGGATGATGTCTTAACTATCTTTCCTCCCCCTAAGAACTTATCTCCATGTCTCACACATCTCACACATAGTAGATGACATCTATGTATTTATGAAATTGAGCTGGATTAGTCAAACCATCTTTTGTCTTATAGCCATGGAATGAGAGCTAATCCATAGTTGTAATGGATTTACAATGGAATCGTTGAATGAAAGCTGCTCTTTCAGCAGATCAGAATATTCAAAGCTGTTAAGTGTATACTTTTGATGAACAGGTTTTGCTGTGTTGCTGAGTTCATGTTGCCATGACAACCTTAACTTTTGGCACTTTCTGAATTTAGTGTCCTACTTAATTTCCTGTGTTTGGCTCTGAGAACCATATTGTTCTGTCCTTTTTGCTTGTCTGTATGAATCCTTGAACTGAAATTTTTATTTATGAATTTATCTTATTTATCTATTAGCTAATACATTTCTTAAGATTGGGTACCTGGTCTTATCATCCTTGTGATCCTCGATAGTATCCAAGTGTGCCTTGTACATTCTAGACAGTCAATGTCAGTATCTATTTTAGATAAATTAAGAAATAATTGGTGGAGGAGGTTAAACAAGCCCAAAGATGTGCATGTCCTAATTCTTGAAACACATTCACATGTCATTTATGGAGCAAAGGGGACTTTGCAGACATGATTAAGAATTTTTGAGGTGGGAAGATGATCTTGGATTATGCAGGGGGGCCATGTGATCAGAAGAGACTTTGTAAGAGGGAGGCAGTAGAAGGAGATATGATAATGGAAGCAAAAGGTAGGAGTGATACAGGAAGGGACAACAAGCCAAGGAATGCAGGTGCTTCTAGAAGCTGAATAAGTCAAGGAAGTAAATTGTTTCCTGATGACGTCAGGAGCAACATAGCCCTCTGACACCCTGATATTATATTCCTGAATACAGAGGTATAAGAGAATAAGTCGGTGTTTTAGTTTGTGATAATTTATTACCACAGCAACATAGGACACTAATACAATTGGGTAATCTGTTTTAATAAGTTTTAAAGACTACCAAGTGGAATTGTTAGGTACCAGTCCAATCTTAGATATAGCTTTGGCTAAATTCTAGGCAGTATATTTCTAGTAGTTCAAAAGATAGAGTGGGAAAGAAGTGTGGCAGTTATTTTGCTAATTATAATGTAGTCTCTTGTCAGAATTTTAGTACTGTGTAAGGTAAATATAGAGTTATCTGTAAGTAATCTGCTAAATTGAAAGTGCCATTCATTCAGAGAACTTACTTTGGGTGTCAAATGAATGCAAGGCACTGGACTGGACTCCCAGGTCAGGCCTCAGAAGGATCTCCATGTGGTTAGAGAGGCCTTGTACTTTCTGGCCACCTACGGGTGGGTGACTAAGTGTGTAAGGGTCAGAGGGAGGACTGGATATGACTCCATTTATTGGGAAGTAGAAATTTCAATGTGGAATTGTGTGCAAATTCAGAATAGATGGTATCTTCATGGTTCAAGGGAAGTTTCCACAGAGATTGTTTACAACTGTTTGGACTTTTGACCCTGTGGTGAACTTTTTAAAAATGCTAGATTCCGGTGCGGTGCCCCACCCCTGGAGATCTTGACTCAGTGGGTCCATTAGGGACTGGGGATCTATGTTTTAAAGATTTAAAAATCTATGCCCTTACCTGTCAACCATGGCTTATGTGTTACACAGCTTGCTAGTATTTATACTGGGAGCATGACTCTATGAGGTTTTTTCTTGGGGAGGGGGGCGGGCTTTACTGGAGGTTGAATGCAGGGCCTTACACATGCTAGGCTAGTACTCTACTACAAAGATACATCTCTATTTTCCTTAAATTTTTTTTTTTTTTTATTTCAAGACTGGGTCTTGCTAAGTTGCCTAGGCTGTTCTCTAATTTGTACTTCTCCTGTCTCAGCCTCCTGAGTTGCTGGTTACAGGTGTGAGCTCACTGCACCTGGCTTCTCTATGAGTATTCTTAAGGACACTGTCCCCAAGGGCAGCACACCAGAACTAGCTTTGTGGATTTCAGAAAAAATACATTGCCTTTACAGAGATTCACAATGGACATTTCAACATTAAAAGCTGTAAGCTATCCTCAATCAGAAGAATCTGCTTAACTCTGGTTACCTCATAATCAGTCTCCAAACTTATTTGACCATTGTATTGTCTCATCATGTAACACTGATTAAATATGCTTGCAATGAACCTTCTCCAGGGCACACTTGAGAAAATATTGACCTAGGAAAATGGAGGTAGTGGTGGTATCTGCCTTTATTTAAAAGGAATCAATCTTTTAACTCTGTATTTATACACTCATTTATGATGCATCAATTTGTGGAGGAAACAAAGAACACAGTATTTTCTAACTTCAGAGTCCATTACAACCTTTAAGTATCACAAAATCATACAACTTCTATCCAGATGGCCATTTGGGTATTGATCTTGGGTGAGAAGGCTGATGTTCATGAAGTGTTCATTGCTTGTATATACCCTGAAAACTTTGTCTCACTTCCCTTTACAATTATTCCTTATATTAGCACCACCATTTCAAAGATGAGAAAAACTGAGACAGGGGCTGGGGATGTGGCTCAAGTGGTAGCACGCTCGCCTGGCATGCGTGCGGCCCGGGTTCAATCCTCAGCACCACATACAAACAAAGATGTTGTGTCCACTGAGAACTAAAAAATAAATATTAAAAAATTATCTCTCTCTCTCTCACTCTCTCTCTCACACACTCTTTCTTTAAAAAAAAAAAAGAAAAAAACTGAGACATGGAATTTAATGACTTGGCTGAAATCAAGTGTGTGTCAACTCCACATCTGTTATCTCCTGCAGTAATTGTGTGTTTTGCGTGAAGTGTCTCATCTGATCCTCCCACCAGATCTATAGGGTAGGGATTAATGTGTATAAACTTGCCCAAACTCCCTTAGTTCATAAGGCAAATCTAAGACTGACCCTATAGACATATCCTCCCCATCACAACATGTTATCAAGCTCCGAGGGTACCCCACTTTTGTCTTCTCGGGGTGTAGTTAAAGATGTAATATTGAAAATGATGAAATAGATGAGTTGGTACAGAGACATAGTATGTAACTGAGAAAAGAAAGCTGAAGTCCTAATAGGAGTAAATGCTATTCAAAGCAAAGTAGGAACTTTCAGAGAAAGACTGAATGCTAAGTCTTACTTAGGAACAGAGAGAAAAGTCATATGACACCTATAAAATATAGTCATGTGATGTATAACTATATTTCTGTCTATGAGGGAGGACATATATGACCATGATCTTAAAAGAGTGTAGTGAAAATAATTTAAAAAATATTACAATGGAGGTGAAAAGTTCCTATTGTCCAGTGACACTGTGGCCATCATACATTTAGATACACAAATACCTACCATTGTGTTACAGTTGAATAGTATAGCCTAAGAGCAATAAGCTGTACCATACAGCCTTGGTGTATATAGGCTATACCATGTCAGTTTGTATAAGTACATTCTCACCTAATAATGCATGTGTCTGAATATATCCTGTTGTTAAGTACATTATCAGGAGATTCCACTTAGTTGTATTTTAATGGAAATCTTTCTATATGTTAAAAATATTGGTAGATAATCCAGTGCTTTTTTAAAAATTTCAATTTCTAAGTCATAAATTCTCAAATGTGATTGTTAGGGTCAATATACAAACATCTTGTAAAATAATTTTCATTTGAACCAAACATTTGGCTTTGGGACCATGCGGGGAGCTGCCTAGAACCATGGTGCAGACAACATCTTAATGGGAACTTGTGTTGCAAAGCGACATTCTTCAGAGCAATTAGAGCAGCCAGCAAGTAACACAAGTCAACAGGAAGGCTGCACTACAAAGTTTAAAGTGGGTCTGTACTGTCTCATAGGTCTTAGAAGATTCTTCTGAGGAACCAAGGAGTTTGTCATACAATTTTTTTCCCTTTCTTTTCTTTTATGCTATGCATAACAAAGTAATCACAAAAATAAGTAGTATTGTCCTTGATCAGGAAGGGCAGTGTAAGGTGAGTATCCCTCATCCAAACTTTCAAAATCCAAAATGCTCCATAATCTGAAACTATCTGAGCACCAATATGATGTTTCAAATGGAAAATTTTACACCTAACCCTATGTGGCAAGTTGCAGTCAAGATGTGGCATGCTAAAAATATTGTATAAAATCCCCTTCAGACTATGTGTATAAGGTACAGATGAAACATACACAAATTCTGTGTTTAGGCTTGAGTCCCATTCCCCAGGATGTCTCATTATGTATACACAGAGATTCAAAAATTTGAAAAAATCTGAAATCAAAAACACAACAAGTCTCAAACATTTCAGATAGTTAAGTTTGTACCACTGAAGTTGTATATAAACATCTTTGTTTCTGAAAATCCTGACATTTGTTTTGGTCTTGAGACCTATCAACTTTCCAACAGTGCAGAATTATTGATTTTTAAGTTTTCTGAAGAATCATTTGCAAAAAATATTTGAGAATTGTAAATCAAGGTATGCAGTTAATGTTACCCTGCACCTCTAATTCAGGCTC